ATACTTCCTGGATCATTTAACATTCTGCCGAAAGCGTCCTTGATTATAGCCACTCGAGGTTTGAATTTGTTCTTCAGTTCCTTGAGCTTAAGATGTGCTGAGCGAGTTCGGCCTATGTATATATGTATTATACATATATATTTACCTGCCTTCTTTATCTTCTCCTCCCTTGTCTCTTCCTTAGGCTTGCAGCCCTCCTCCTCCTTTTTTTTTTTTTTTAAGCACTGACTGGAATTGCATCTTCCCTCCTTTAGGGTATAATTTTGACAAATAGTCTTATTAGAGACTATGCTACATATGAAATCCAAGAAAGGGTGGACATTTGTGACCATTTGACATGATCAAGTCTGGTTGTTTGCAGCTCTCCCCCACAGAGCTGGCCATAAAGGAAATGACCTCGTTGGTGGGCACCTACTCTCAGGGCCTTAAGATCTGGCTTGGCCCCATCAATCCTGCTATTATTCTGTGCCATCCTGACACCATCCGGCCCATTGTCAATGCCTCAGGTACTCACAAGGAGCTTGTGGTGGTGGGTGCCATTACAATGTCTGTGAGCCAGTGCCCCTTTGCTCCTCAGCTTCTGCATCCCTCACAGAGCCTCAGCCTTTTTCCTCTTGTCTTAGCCTTCTTTCCCCCTTTTCATATATTTTCAAGTCCTAAACTCTCCATCTGCAATATATCCCTGGTGTTCCACATTTGAGACTCAGTTTTAGAAGAGTCCCTGGTTATGAAGAAAAGATTCAGACAGAAAGAGCCTCTTCTCCTACGGTCAGAAATGATGACAGAAGGAAAGATGGGGTAAGCAGTCCAGAGAAAAAGGAAACTTTTTGCTAGGTAGGCTGAAAGGCTTCCTGGCAGTTGGGCTGCTGAAATTGCGTGTGAAACAATGAGTAGAAAGATTTTTAAGTAGATGTAGGATGATGCAATGGGTATAGCATCTTTTGAGCCTCTTCACAGGAGTGGCTTTTGCCCATCACCCCAGGAACAGCCCTATGAGAGGGTCTCTGGTCCTCTACTTCCATGATGTCCACCTCTGGTGGGCAAACATTTTCTACTGAATCTTGTGACTGGTCCCTCTACAGGATGGACCTCCAATGTCTTTCCTAAGATACTCCACCTCACATCAGATTCCCCCAATGCACCACATCTTTTGATTTCTTGACTGTTGTCTTCATTATGTTCCATGCTTGAGAAGGGAAGGATATCTCAACTCTGACACTAACTCTCTTCATGACCCTAGACAAGCTACTGACTCTTTGGTTGATGAAGTCTCTTTTATTCTTGAGTGGTGGGAATGCTAAGTCTAAGGAAAGAAAAGAAATCTATTGACTGAAAATCCCAGGGAGAGTAGTATACAGGCAGGGCTTGACCTAAGTCTCTAAAAATGCCCCCAGAGATCTGTCTTCATACCTTAGTTATTAATTTCCTTGTTAGTTTTACTTTCTTCCCCCTTTTTAAAAAAATTGTTATTAATTTCAATGAAAATTTACAGAGAGTTTGAATTTCCATTCATTCATTGTTCTACTTTTCTCCCCTCCCAAACCTCCCCCCCCACTAGTATACTACCCTCTAGGAAAAGTAAAAGAAAAATTCTTTCATTGTTTTACAATCCCTCCCCCCAGGTCCACTCCATTATGCAGCCTTCGCTCTGGACTCCTGTCATGACAAAAATACCTAAACACATTCCTCTTAAGCAGTTTTCTCCCTTATCTGTTTCAATGCAGTATACATTATTGAACCTATCTTATACATTATTGAACCTATCTTTCTCAGTCTTCCCCCAACCCCGAGGTCAGTCCTGTTTTACAACAGTGGCACCATGCGGTATTTGCCTTTTGTGACTGAGATACTTCACTCAGCATAATGTCTTCCACGGTCACCCATTTTGAATAATATTGCATGGGTTCCTTGTTTTTCAATGCGGTGTAGTATTCCATTGTGTGAATATACCACAGCTTCTCTAACCATTTGTTTGTTGATGGGAACTTAGGTTGTTTCCAACTCCTTGCTATTGTGAACAAAGCCGCGATAAACATGAGTGTGCATTAGTTTGACTTTCTATACATCTATTTCCTCATGTTATATGCAATAACCCAAGATATCCTGGTTACCCTTACCTCCTCTGTGCTTCCTCTGCCTTTCTCCCCATTCTTGCTATGCTGGGCTTGGGAGGTAGTACAGATCTCTGCCTGGGAGGCCCCACCTTCACCTGTGGTTCCTACTTTATCCCTCTCCATGATCTTTGATTATGTTTAATTATGTTAGTTGTCATTGCACCCAAGGACATTACCTTCTACAGATTTCTGAAGCCCTGGCTGGGTGAGTAACTGTGGGTGAAGGGGATTGGTAAAGATCTTGGGGTCCAGAGAAAGATGTCATCCTTACTCACTGTCCATGGCTCTCCCTATCAGGAGAGGGGCTTCCAGTGAGTGAAGGTGACAAATGGAACTATCACCGCCGCTTGCTGACACCTGCCTTCCACTTCAACATCTTGAAGCCCTATGTGAAGATCTTTAATGAGAGTGTGGACATCATGCATGTGAGTCCTGTGAATCATATCCCTGGTGGGACCTTGTAGAGCAGAATAATAGAAAAATCTAGCTGGAATACTGATTCTTCTGTGTTGCACTGAGACTCTTGTTCTTCTGTAAGTCTCAATTCCTCATGTCTTAATTGAGAATAATAATGTCCAAGTTGTAAGGTTTTCTATTTAACACAATGAAATAATGCCCACAGCATCTTGTAAGTGTCAGTGTCTATGTTCCTGGAAGCATTGGAATTCCGAGACAATGTTAATGGTAAAAAACCTGCATAGTAGAAATTGTTTTATGACAAACCACTTTGAAACTCACTGGCTTAAAATAATTCTATTGCTCTCAAGTCTACGATACAGTGAGCCATTCTTCTAGTTTTGAGTGTGCATCTGTGCAATGATGTGAATCAGGTAGGCAGCTATGCTGATCTCCTTTGAGCTCTTTTTCATGTTAAGGGATTGGCTGAGTGTTAAGATGATCACTGATGGGCACCTGGGATGATGAGCCTTCTCTATGTGGTTTCTTATCTTCTGTCAGCCTCAAGCTTCTTCACATAGTGAAAACACGGTTCTAAGGGTGCTATGTTAAGTGACACTGCTTCTTGAGGTCTAGTTTTGGAAGGCATGCAGTTTGAATCCACCAGCTGCTCCATGGGAGATACATGGGCAATTTCCTCCTGTGTGATTATTTGCCTCTGAAAACTCATTGGGGGTCAGCTATAGGTAGGTTCCAACTTGATGGTAAACAACAACAACAACAACAACATCAATAGCAATGACAGTTGACTATAATATGTCCCAAGAACATCTCTAAACCAAAGGGTGGAGGAATAGGCTCCACTTCCTAAGGGAAGTTATTGCATGTTGTGTTGCAAAACATATGTGGATTGGGTGCTTTGGGTTCCTTCTGCTTGGAGACTATTGCTTTTTTGGCTTCCTTTTCTGAATTCTTTGTCACTGTTGAAAAATTCTATTGATTTTTTTTTAAGATTGATCTTATTTCTTACTACTCTACCAAGTTGATCTATTAGCTCTAAGAGTTTTCTGTTGAGTCTTTGGGGTTTTCTGTGTATACTATCATATCACCTGCATGTAGTGATAGTTAACTATCTCTTTGCTTATCTGGATGTCTTTTATTTCCTTCTCTTGTAATGCCCTTGCAAGAACTTCCAATACAATATTGAATAGAAGTGGTGACAGTGGTTATCTTTGTCTGGTCCCTGTTCACAAAGAAAATGCTTTTAGTCTTTCTAAATGGAAAATGATTTTTGCTCCTGGTTTTGCATATATGCTTTTCGCTATGTTGAGGAAATTCCCTTATATTCCAATATTGCTGAGTGTCTTTATCAGGAAGACTGGATTTTTGTTGGATTTTTTCAAATGTTTTTTCTGCATCAATTGCTAAGAACATATGGTTCTTATTTTCTTTGTTAATATGGGGAATTACATTGATTGTTCTTCCTATGTTGAATCATCCTTGTATCATTGTTATGAATCCCACTTGGCCATGATTAATTATTTTTTAATTATTATTAAATTTTATTAGTTTTAATGAACATTGACAGAGATTTTGGGTTCTCATTCATTCATTGTTGCACTGTTTTCTCTACCCTCCTCCCCAGTTCATTCTTCTTCCCCCCCTGAATGTCTGTTTTAATTGTCCAATTGCCACAGTGCTTGTCAAAGCCAGTTCTGATTAATCTCCTTTGTCAGTGTGTCCTTTGCCATTCCCTATCACTCCTCCCTGAGAGAGACTTCACCCTGATTCATAAGGAAAAGGGGATGGCGTATTCTCTTAGCTACTTCCTGCTGGAAAGGGACGCTGTGGGTTTCAGGTTGAAGATCTTCTCTCACTACTCTAAAGGGCCCCTTTGGCAGTAGGAAACACATAGACTATTATGGAGATTGATTTTGGAATTTAGATGCACTGTTATCAATTGTGCTTAGCTTATGTACTTTTAGATTCTATTAGCTATGATTTTGTTAAGAATTCTTGCATCCATATTCATGAGAGGTACTGATCTGTAGTTTTCTTTCTCGGTAATATCTTTGCTTGATTTTGATATTAGAGTTATGCTTGCTTCATAGAATGACTCTAAGAGTGTTCCTTCTTTTTCAATTTTTTGAAATCATTTAAGTAGAATTTGAAATAGATCCTTTCTGAATGTTTGGTAGAAGTTAGCTGTGAAGGTATGTGGTCCAGGACTTTTCTTATAGAAAAGTATTTCTTACCACCTTTTCAATTTCTTCTTTTGTGAGGGATCTGTTCAAGTGTTCTATGTCTGTCCTTGTCAATCTGGGTAGGGCATGAGTCTCAAGGAATTTGCCCATTTCTTTTAGGTTTTCAAGCTTATCAGAGTATAGATTTTTGTAGTATTCTGACATCATTGATTTAATTTCATCTGTTTCTGTTGGGCTCTGCAGGGTGGCTTAAATGTCTTCTGCCTGAGAGCAGAGAGTGTGGGTTCCATTCAGGAAATTCTTGAACTGATATCCTTGTGGTTTAGAACTTTGAAGAGATCATTTTCATAAAATTTCCCCAGTCAGATATATCTTTTGATTACTTGACTGTGCTACCATGGATGCTGATAATGGATTAAAGCAAAATGAAATTATTGACAACCACAATCTTTTATCTGTCTACCATGATGTTGCTTATTGGTCCAGTATTGAAGAGTTTTGTTTCCTTGATGTTGATATGCAACCCTATTGAAGACAGTTCCCAGGTTCAGCTGTGCTTCTTTTTCTGACCAGGCCAAGTGGCAGCACCTAGTGTCTGAAGGCAGTGCCTGTCTGGACATGTTTGAGCACATCAGCCTGATGACCCTGGACAGTCTGCAGAAATGTGTCTTCAGTTTGGACAGTCACTGCCAGGAGTGAGTCCTGTGTCTGGATTTGAGTACCTGTCAAAGTGGTAGAAGTTTGGGAAGACCAGAAACATTTTTTTCTGGAGGAGGCAGGTCAGAGGTGGGCAGTTAAGGGAGAAGGACTTGAACAGAAAGAAAGATTCTTCCAGGTGGGATGACTGAGTAAAGGTAAAAAGTCTAAGGTGAGCAGTGTGGATAAGAGACAATGAACTAATTACCCTGGGGGGAAGATAGGAGCTGTGGGGAGATACTGAAGAGTTAAAAATACAGGCAAAGAGCTGGGGACTTTATCTTGTGATCTCCCTGGTATCAGTGAAGGCGTTTCAGTAGATGAATCATGTGGTCTTAGCTGAGCTTTACAAATTTATGGTTCAAGAAGATTGATTGTTGTGTATACACAAGCTGGTGCTGACATTGAACAGAAGGGAACAGATGAGAGGCTGCCATGTGGAGCACGTAGGAGATAAAGCATAAGCTGTGTGAAAAATTTGGGAAAGATTGAAAAAAAGCCCATGATATTAAAACCCTTCTTAACTCCTGTGCTCTGGAGTCAGATCTCAGAAATTAGGATATGTAGAGAGAAGAAAGTGTAGAGAGTCTTCTCTTCTGACTCATCCCTACCATGCATCTCTGATTGTGCAGGCTTCTGAATAGCAAGTATATAACGGACTTTAGATATCTGAACTTGTTGTCTTTCTTACCTCATCTTACAGGAAGTCCAGTGAATACATTGCTGCCATCTTGGAGCTCAGTGCCCTTGTATCAAAGCGTTTTCAGCAGATCTTCATGAACTGGGACTTCCTGTATTACCTCACTCCTGATGGTTGCCGTTTCAGAAAAGCCTGTCACCTGGTACACACTTTCACAGATGCTGCCATCCAGGAGCGACGACACATCCTCTCAAAAAATGATACTGATGAATTCCTGAAGGCCAAGGCCAAGGCCAAGACTTTGGACTTCATTGATGTGCTCCTGCAGAGCAAGGTGAGTGCCTATAGGTTGTCGTGTGACAAGTGGGCAAGAATTCAAGTTAGATCAAAAAGATTGAGTATAATCCAGAGGGAACTCAGAAACCACAGAAAGTGTATGAGGAAGGAAAGGCCAAATCAAAGATGTTTTAGACTCTACTTTGAGGAAGCAGCCCTTCTCTAGTCGTATTTTGAGTGTCTTTCATCCTGAGAGATTAATTTCTCAGTATATAAGAAATGTTTAGTGCTATAAATAAGAGTCTAGTGAGAGCTCTGGTGGCCTAGTGGCAAGAAGCTGTGCTGCGATCCTGAAGGCATGCAGTTTGAGGCCACCAGCTGCGCCATGGGAGAAAGATGGACAATCTCCTCCCATGTTATTAACTGCCTCTGAAAACCCACCTGAGGATAAGCCATGGGTCTGTTCCAGCTCTACGGTACACCACCACCACCACCACCACCGCCACCACCACAACAACAACATGGGCTAATTATTTCAGAAGTAGATTGTCAATCCTGGTTCAGAGTATGTTTTATTCGGGAAGCTTCACTGAAACTTTTTCACCGTGGGTGACACCAGGTTGCATTTGAAATACTCCTGGCCTAGCTTCCAACATCAGAATCACCAAAGTATGATAAATTGACAGATGAGTAGTGGATAAACATATACATGTACACTTAGGTATATTCTTTTTATTTTAAACTCTTACATTAGATATGATTCAAGGATGTTGTTGGTCTTGCCTTTTCTTCAGGATAAAGACGGGAAAGGGTTGTCAGATGAAGACATCCGAGCAGAGGCTGATACTTTCATGTTTGGAGGTGAGGGTACAATTTGGGATTGCATTGGGAGCAGAGATTTTTCCCTTCTCAGGTTCTTGAGGGTTGGACCTTGGACTGTCTTTTCCTTCCCCACTTCATTCATCTTCTCTGAATACCTCAATGTATGGGAGCTGTCCTCTCCCTGGTGCTGAAGCAACCTATAACTCAAGCCCACCTGGCTGCCCCTCAGGTTATGACACAACAGCTAGTGGCCTCTCCTGGATTCTGTACAACCTTGCTAAGCACCCAGAATATCAAGAGCGTTGCAGAAAGGAAGTGCAAGAACTCTTGAGCGACCGCAAGGCAGAGCAGATTGAGTGGTAGGTATAGACTCACAACAAGTTCCCATTGCTCTGTAGAATCTATAAATTCTTCCCTGTTTAGTGAGAATAAAAGCATAAGCCAGATGCAAAGTCTTGTATCCTTCCTGTCCATCAAGGGAATTGGGACTTTGGATTAGAAATATCTAGTCAGTTGAGATCAGAACCGTGGCAAAGTTTGAGGGCAGATATTAATTAGCACATTCTGAAGAAATGCTTTTTCCTTTGTTTTCCTCTTTGCCAATGACTCATTTGAAAGATTTTTTTTTTCTCCTCTGGATATTAGAACTTCTGCCTTCTAATCACCTACCTTACTGATCAGAAGGGGATTCACAGGAGACATGTGGTGGTAAAAGTAATCCCTTTCATTTCCAAGGACATCATCATTCAGTCCTTACTTAGCAGTTTATTCCCTTACTGTGCCCAACTCAATCTTCATCCCCAATGATATGCCCATACATGGGAAGAATAATACAAATATGGGATAGTTTATGCTCACCAAGGGAATTGGGTAGATTGCAAATGGTATAAAGAAGATATGCAGTTGTTGTAGGGACCATGCAAATAAATTCTTTGGAATAATAGTGTGGGCATTGGTCAGCTTTGCTATCCCACTTGGTTTAAATGAACTATTCTCAAAAAGGAAAAGAGACAATGTCATTACCATCAAAAAAGAAGAGCCTAGAGTGAAGTGCATCCTTTGAACCCAAGTTCTCTTTGCTAAAACTCCTAAATTTAGGAGATAGAGAGGTGTTACACATTAGATGTCTACACAGAGACAGTGTGAGATGGCAAGAAAGGAACACATTTTTGGGTATGTTTACTTTGTTTCCTATTAATTGTCTTTAATTTTGATCCTTAATTACTATAAAAACTAGGGAGCTCTGGTGGTCTGGTGGGTAAAGGGTTGTGTTGCCAACACAAATGCTGGCAGTTTAAATCAACCAGCTCCTCCTCAGGAGAAAGATTGATAGTCTCCTCTTGTGCAATACACAACCTCTAAAAATCTGTATGAGTTGATTCCAACTTGATGTCAATAGTTGGGCTTAATTTGAGACTATAAAGAATATTTTCTGCCTGGAAATTTATAAAACTTTATGGAGATGGGGTGTGTGTGTGTGTGTGTGTGTGTGTGTGTGTGTGTGTGTGTATTGTGATTGTTTAGGAAGGCTGATATATTCACTTGATTAATTTTTCTCTGATTTCTAAGATATTACATTCTATGGACTAGTGGCAAGTAGTGGTACTGCAATCCTGAAGGAACGAGGTTTGTATCCATCAGCTGCTCCATGGGAGAAGGATGGGCAATCTCCTCTCATGAGATTAATTGCCTTTGAAAACCCACTGGAGTGTCAGCTATGGGTTGGTTCTGACTCAATGGTACACAACAACAAGATTAACATTTTTGTTTTTAAAAAAATTTTATATGAAGAGAAGAGAAACAATCGAAATAATTATTAGATTTGCAATTGAATAACATTAATTACATTCTTCAAGATGTGCCATGATTTTCCATATTATTTTAAAATAATTTCCTCATTAACATAACGAATACTATAACTTTAAGGCCTCCTGAGCATAGACTTCCATCCCACAAACCCTTGAATAATTTTTGGTTCTCTATATTTTCTTATTTCATACAAATGAGATCTTATATTATTTGCCCTTTTGTGACTGACTTCTATTACTAAGTATGAAGTTGTTAAAGTTCTACCACATAGTTTTAGGAATCAGGGCTTCATGGTTCTTTATGGTTGAGTGGTATTCCATCATGTGCATATACAACCTTCCCTCCTCCCCCCATCCATCTGATGCTTAATATTAATTTGGAATTTATTTTGTTTCAGGAATCAAGGGTCAGAGAGATGTGGGGAAAAAGTGTCACTAGGGGCAGGTATTGGAGAGTCTATGTATCCAGAATAACTGTTGGAGTGTGCCTTCCTTAGGGACGATCTGGCCAAGCTGCCCTTCCTGACCATGTGCATTAAGGAGAGTCTGCGGTTGCATCCCCCGGTCACTCTCATCTCTCGTCGCTGTATCCAGGACATAGTGCTTCCAGATGGCCGTGTAATCCCCAAAGGTGCTCATAACACAAGGAGAAGACCCCAGACAGGAAGAAGGACCCATTTGTCAGTGGGGACATCTTCCTGACTGGCCCTCCTTCCACAGGTGTTACATGCTTGATCAGCATCTTTGGCCTCCATCACAACCCTACTGTGTGGCCAAACCCTGAGGTACTGCCCTTATCTACCCCGTTCTTAGCCACATGGGGAGGGATGGGGTGCAGAGAAGATAATTAGACACATGGAGCATCTGCCTCTGCAGGGCTGTCTGTGTTGGGAGAATCCATGTAACAGACCTTTCTTTCCACCTCCAGGTCTATGATCCCTTCCGCTTCGACTTCGAAAACTCCCAGAAGAGGTCGCCTCTGGCTTTTATTCCTTTCTCTGCTGGGTCCAGGTGAGACCTGCAGGTGACCGAAGTGGGATTGGGTGAAGTTCATGACTAGGACACAATTCTGGCCTGATTGTGAGAGGGGGAAATTTTAGTTGAACCGAGTTCTAGCACTTTTCCTTCTTTTTCTCTGGAGTTTTGGATGAGGACTTGAGAGAAAAGATGGAATGCAAGAAGAGGTTTCAGTACCCAAAGACCTGCTATAATGAGTCAGGAGTTGGAGTCTCAGACAAGCTCAAGGCTCCCAGAAGCCCTTTTGGGTTTGGCTTACTGCATCAGTAAGCCCTCGTTTCCTTTCAATGTTCAGGATATGGTCTAGAGCATGGGGTCCTGGACTGGGTTTCACCTGCAAGGTGGCTGGGATGATCATCCTAGACAAATCTTACCCTCTCCTGACCTTCAGGAACTGCATTGGACAGACATTTGCCATGGCTGAGATGAAGGTAGTCCTGGCCCTCACACTGCTGCGATTCCGTGTCCTGCCTGATGGCGTGGAGCCCAAGAGGAAGCCAGAGCTGGTCCTACGTGCAGAGGGTGGGCTGTGGCTGCTAGTGGAACCTTTGGGCAGTGGAGCAGAGTGATCCCCTGAATCTCCTAACATCCCCACTCCCAACTCACCTACATATTTTAGCCAACTGCCAGGAATAAAACTCCATTATTAATAAAACCTTTCCTCAAGCTTTCCTAGGAGCTGGTAGGGGCACCTGGGCACTGCTGGACATGTGTTTGGAAGGAGGGGGTCCATATACCTGAACTCAAGGACTCCCACGCATGCATCTTACCAAGCCTGATGATGGAAATAACCTTAAGTACAAGGGAATCATAAGAGATGTTTGAGGAAGAAACATCATTTTTGAGGATGGATTTATGGGATAAAATGAACCCTCTGTGGGGCAGTGGCCTTTGCATGCACTTTCCTATGCACAGGATACTCTTCTCTAAGCACTTTCATGCCTAACTTTCATTGCTCAGGGCTCAGCTGACATGTCACTTCAGGGAGATTTTTCTTCACTGTGCAGGTTCTGCCTGCACCCCAAGTAATGAGACATTCTGGGGAAGAAAGAGGGTCAAAGATAAGGAGGAAGACCCTCAAGCAAATGCACTGACAGTGTCTATAACAATGAACTTCAGCTTGATGGTAGCTCAGGATAGGGCCAGATCTATTGGTCCTGGGATCACTATGGCACTTAACAACAACAATAACAACAACAGTTGTTGTTGTTATCTGCTGTCGAGTCGTTTA